TAATTTCAATCTGTTATTGAGCTGTTTTTATTGAGCTAAAGAACCTAAATGCGTTAAAAATATATATCAAAACCAAAACTAAACGAGTTTAGAGAACTCATTCACCAGATAATATAACTGTGCAATTCATTAGATTTAAAGAGTTTCATTTAACCAAGTAACGAAGTTCCACAAAATCGTATTTAATTCGTCGATGAAACAGAAATATTACATTTAAAATGACATTAAATAATGTTTTGGATACAAAGGTGTATTTTGCTAGTTATTTGAAGTTCCCGCATTTTACACACTGGAACTTAAAAGCATAGTGAAGTGTAACTTGATATTTTTGAGGTTCAAATTAGTTAGATTTAATGTGCTAAGTTGATGTTAGGGGTGCAAATATTAAGTTTTAAATTAGGTTAGATTGGTACAAATGTATACATAAACTCAGAAATGTGAACTAAAGGACTTTTTCATTGTAAAGAAGTAGAAGTGTTATAATTAAAAGTTTAAAATATGTTCTACTTTAAAAGTCCTTCTGAACACAACAATAACAATAACAGCAACATTTTCTTTCAACCTTAAATATCATTTTAAAAAGTGAAGCCCGTGGTTTGTAGTCAGTTCTACGTAGTCTACTCTCATAGAGTCCTTGTGTAGTCTTGGCCAGAAATGCCACGGCTCTCTAAACTTTATAATTGGGCAAGTTACAAACTTGTTTAAAAGCAATAATCAATGTGCCTATTGGAAAACTAAAAAATCTGTAATAATTTATGTCAATAAATATTTTATCTTCGTAAAAAGTTTTTATTTGGTTAGGATTTATTATTCCAGTCGATTACAATACCAAGAAACGTGTTAACAGCATTTGCTCTTAGAATTGGGATAAAAGTTTATAATTAAAAACTGAAGTTGAGTATTCATTACAAAAAGCATTCTTGCGAAAAGTTGTTAAGCTTTGAAGCAAATATTGTCAAACTATTTAAAACATCTCACAAAAAAGTATTTAAACATTTCTCGTCTTAATAAATACTTAAACACTCAATAATATTCTATTGTTATATCTTTTTCCTAAACATTGGTAGAGTAGCTACATTTATATGTATCCTAATCAGTCATTATTTATTTTATAATCTCCATATTGTTATGACAATATTATCTGTACATATACTTTGGACAGGTACAATATTTCGGGTGTAGTAAAGACCTGAAATTTTCATAAGCTTATTTTAACTACTGAAATCCTTGTACCTACATGTTAATCATGTTCAACTTTTGAGTGTAGTGTTGGTTTAAAATACCTCCTCAATTGGTATAAATACCTGCTTCTTTTTAATACAATTGTTTTTTTATTGAGTTGCAACTAGTTTCGGCTTGCTAAAAAGGTGTTGAGGGATTTCATAATCACTTTATGTAGTTCCACGATTGGCATATAGTATATTTTAAACATAAGTAGACACATGAACGTGGACATTAAAACGATAAAATGGCACATTTCTTTGTTTTTTGTTAAGTAACTTATATAATATTTAAAATTGTCCCACACTACCCTAATAGAGCCCAAAAAGATAGAATCACTTACTTAGGTTAATTTAAGGAAGTGCCTCTTGAGTCATAAGTTGATTGAACAACAAATACACTCTCGTCTTAATTTCATGTTTAAATCAATGTTGATTGCACAAACTCCTTGTGAAGAGAGAACTGATTACCAAACCAGCGGTAACTTGGCATACTTAGGTTGACAGGGAGCAATGCCAAGATTGAGGTGTTTCAAGTGTTTACCTAACCCGCCATGTTAAACTACCCTATCCCAAGCGTGTTGTATACAACTTCTTTACTTCTCAAGTGATGTAAAGTTGAAACAAACTCACTCGGTGATGTAATGAAACCCATTTATATAACATTGAGTGCTTAACTAAAAAAATATACCTCTATGGAGCCAACGACGTTTAACGCTAGAAATGAACTGTGCGCTTGGATTTTATTGTTATGTTTTGAAGAATTTTCCTAACCTAGCTTTTGTTTGTAAATGAACGTTACTGTTAGAAGATGAGTGAAATGGGTAATGAAGAATATTGTTCGTAGCCTCCTGTATATTGTCGGATCAGGTAAAATCTTGTACGTTACACGTTACGCAAAAGCGTGTTTACATCACTTAGGTAAATTATGCAACTCGCTTCTGCTCGTTGAACAACATTCACCTGCGTGATGTAAAAACGCTCTTACTACACTTGTAAGGTAAATAACTATTACCCATTCACTGGAACTGTTTACTTCACTGTAATTAGACCCAGTTTATGATATTTAATGTTTTAAGTAGCAAAGGAAAATAATGTGTTTGGTAAAAGATTTTCTAATTTTGCCGAAGCAAGACTTTAAGCTTACTGATTTGATGCATAAGCCAATTTACAATAATTGTCTAGTTTCTCAATGTACGTTTTCATTTTTACATACGAGGCTACATAAATAGTTATTTCATAAAATGCATTTGTTTAGTTCCAGAAATTTGTAATGTCTAAAATGTTGATATGCCTAAACCAAGATTACATTTTAATTATTGGTAAAATTATGAATTTTGTTAATTTTTTCATGGAAATGAAATTGAAGCCTGTTAAATATTGATATATTACGAATAGTTTTTGTCAACAATGTTTTTAGGACTTTACACTATGTCATAAAATTTATCGTCGTTGTATTGAACACTGTTGAATTAGAAGACGACAGGCTTGATTAAGGAAAATTAAATTTAAAACCGATATTCACTTAATAAAAAAAAACTACCTTTAGGCTAATAAAATTGAATAGTGGGTTATACAAGCGGGTTATACAAGGTATGTTTAGAGTTTTATAATCACTTTGTATATTAGTTATAACATGAGTTTTGTATTTTAGATCATTTGGATAATGCTTTAAAAGCAGTAATGGAATGTAAATTTGTTGTTGATTATCAAGCTTTGTAAGTTTCGAGCTATTTCAGGGTAACCACGAATACAGTGTATATTATGATCAATCATTATTTATTTTTGATTGAAACCTGCATGCGAGGCAAAGGACTTCACCTGGCTGATATTGTTTTTCATAAGTTAATGCATACACGTGTAGCCAACTACCGTTTGTACTCGTAAGTATAATACTTCTAAAATGGCAAGAGTTTGCATGTGTTACCGTAATAAATTAACAGTTATTATGTACACAAAGACCAACAAGTAATGCTTATATAATGCATAGGAAAACTGGTAAAACAACATAATTATTAAATTTTATTTGTGAAATATTGATTCAATATTTAAGTGTTTACGTTATTTAGTAAACAGGCATCTTTTGTATAAAGAATTACAGGAAAGTTGATGAAGATATAACAACATTAGATGAATATAGTTTAAATTAATCAATCATTGCTTTTGAATATTGTTTTTGAGTAAAACACAAAATAATAGCAAAGAATATCTTGTAACAGGAAGACATAAAAAGGAATCATGCATCTATATTACATCTATACAGGGTGATTTGTACTCAGTGTGACAAAATTTTTTTGGTGTAAGTACAAAGTAAATGAAATGTGATGATGCATATCAAATGTTCCAAGTCTAAAAATTAGCTTCCCAAAAAATTATTTTATGTTTTTCAAAAATAACCATGTTTTTAAACTTAATACAGCGATTTCTCAATTACCTTATATGGATTTGAGTAGATAATGTAATTTTCGTGTTCTACATTAAATTTTGAACAAGAATAATAGATAATGACGGAGGATCAGTTGTAAAAACTCCATTGTAAATAGATTCAAAGATAAAAATTAAAATGTTTGATAACAATTTTTAAAAACAATGGTCTATTGCATTTTTCACACCCTGTATACAAGAAAGTGTCGGATTATGTTAAAAACTGCGCCATTTTATAAGCTAACCAACGATATGCTACACTATTGAGGTTTATGTCTGCTTATGTACGCTTTAATGGTTTGAAGACTACAAAACATGGTGTCTTTAACATTTAAAACATAGAAATTTGGCATGTATTAAGCAAAAGTTGTATTTTTGTTTCAGCTTGAACAGTAAAAACAGTAAAAAAGTTCCCTGTTTTCTGGTATTCAAACCACTAAAACAAACAAAAAAATATCTAAACCTCAATAGTGTAGCATATGGTTGGAAAGGTTATAAAATGGCGCAGTTTTTAACATATTCCGACACTTTCTTGTATACAGGGTGTGAAAAATGCAATAGACCATTGTTTTTAACATTTTTATCAAATATCTAAATTTTTATCTTTGAATCTATTTACAATGGAGTTTTTACAACTGATCCTCCGTAATTTTCCATTATTCTTGTTCAAAATTTAATGTAGAACACGAAAATGACATTATCTACTCAAATCCATATACAGGTAATTGAGAAATCGCTGTATTAAGTTTAAAAGCACGGTTATTTTTGAAAAACATAAAATAATTTTTTGGGACGCTAATTTTGAGACTTGGAACATTTGATATGCATCATCACACTTAATGTACTTTGTACTTACATCAAAAAAATTTTGTCACACTGAGTACAAATCACCCTGTATACACATTGCTATTTCCCACTTCATCTTTACATGAATTTACTTTTCACATAACACTTATTGTTTTACTAGTAAAACTTCACTCGTAAAACTTTAATTTATTCACAAATAGACAAAATTTAATTCTTACATTAATTTTACAAATAAAATATTGATGAAAGGTCGTCGTTTGTGGGTGTGGAACCAATTATGCTGGCGGCATTTCCTTTCTGTATGGCCATGGCAATTCGTTGTATTAAGTGGCTCCTTGCTTTATGGTCGCCTGTTTTTTCTATTAGCTTGCGGCCTATTTGATTTACCCAGTTCTTGCCTTCCTTGCACCATGGCCCAGCAGTTTCCACACCCAGGACGATTAATTGGTATCCTTTTGATGTAATATTAGAGTATTTTGTATGTTTTCTCTGGGTGACCATTTCAGCTGCTGCTCCGGATTGCTTTTTTGTTTGATTTATATAACTTACTGCGTAAGTATCAGAGCAAGTGAAATCCCAGATTAGACATTGGCCCTTGCTCCAGGGGATGATTGTGGCTCCATCTGGCCGCTTCCCATCATTTCGGTCAATACCTGTGGGTTCCAGTTGGGCTGGGATGTCAGCACACACCAAAGCTTTTTTTATCAGATTGTTAACTTCAGCGTGTCGGAAAAATCTTCCAGAACTGTTGATACAGGATAACGGGTGTAAACCTCTCTTGTCTACGATTTCACCACAGACACACTGAAATTCTCGGCAGAGATTACATCCTAATCTAAGTCCAATACTGATTTGGAAGCTTTTGTCATCCATAAACATACCAATGTTTTTTGATGGAAAGGCATGTAACCATGCTCCAGACTCTTTTTCTTTGATGGCATTCATTCTTGCTAAATCTTGAACGTTTTCGAATTTTTAATTTTCTTCTTTCTTCTTCATTACTATGTTGTCCCATTTATGCTGTAAGATTGGGTTTGAAGGCAGTTCATTGTAATTTTTTAAAAACTCTTCGATTCCATTAGTACAGAAAGATAACGCCAATTCATCAACTGGTATATCAAGTATGTTGGAGACGAGTGGTGTTACTCCTGCACATGATGAAAGAAAAGTGGGCAAACTTAAATCAATGAGACTTCGTATACCAATGCCACCACGGCTTATAGGGAGACTTGCTTGTTCCATTTGCTTAGGTGTAATATTTAGGTTTAAAATATCATTCAGGGATGAAATGATTGTATCGTCCAGAGTACTTAAAGCTTGTTGAAATAGAAATGTTGGTACACTTCTAAGTGTGTAAAGCACTTTGGGTATACCGAGGCAATTTTTCAACAAGAAATAGGCAATGTGTTTGGGTAGTGATTTAAGCCTTTCGACCATGATCTTCAAAGATTCTAAATGTTTATTCAATGGATTTTTAAATCCTTCAACACACAAAGGAGAACCTAAAAGATATAATTCTGAGGAATGTACTGTTTGAATGCCTGGAAGAACAGTTCTGAAATGTGTTTCTATGTCAGGGTCAATGATGTTTGATGTGAAAAATAACTCACACTTTTTAGGATTAATTGTTAATCCTATTTTTCTTGATTCATTTATCAGTATGTTGATGTCCTCCCATACAGTTTTCGGATCACCAGCCAATGTACCATCGTCTAAATAAAACAGTTTTATTTTCGATTTGAGCTTGAGCAAAATTGGATGAATGGCTAGACTAAAGGTGAGTGAGCTTGTTGGATCGCCTTGTTGACAACCAACACGTGATTCAATAATTTTGTTTCCAAAAAATAATGTAGATGACGAACTGTAACATTGCCACAAAAATGGGTATAGTTCGGGAACATTTTCTTTCATCTCTTTTAGTAAAATGTCTCTTTCAACAGATGTGAATGCATTTTTATAGTCAATTTTAACCAAAACCTTGTTGGACTCTTTTTCATTCTCAAGAAATGTTCGTGTTGCATGAATAATGGTCTAACAACCTTGCTTAGTTGCAAAACCTAATTGATAAGGTTGAAAATAGTTTTTACACTTTTCTTGAACAGCTTGACAGCATATTTTAGCTGTGAGTCTTCTAAATACACATCCAACAGCAATTGGTCTTAATCCACCATCTTTCTTGTTCAATGCACAAAGATTAGCACCATAAATAAATTTTAAAATTGAACTGTTGACCTTTCCTTCAAGCATAAAATTAACAAGATCTGTAATGCTTTTCAGCAGTTTCCCCCCCTGGTCATTTGCAGATTTAGATGTTAAGTCTTTCAAATGTTGAGGTGAAATACCATCAAAACCAGAAGAAGAACCATTAGGAAAAGAGGAGATTGAACTTTTTACTTGGGATTCTTTTGTTAAAAAAAAAATAGATGTTTCATTTGGAGGATCAGGTATTTGGAGGTCTCGAGACGGAGTAGGATGCATGGAAAGCAATTTGTCGTGATTTTGAGCCGTTACATCAGCAACTGTGTCATAAGAAGAAATTATTCTTACTGCTCCTTTCGTGTCGAAATCCTCAATCTTTTTCATAACTTTGTGTTCTATTGTACTTTTCTTTAATTTATTTTCTTTTATTATTGGTAGTTTTTCGTGTGATATATTTTCTTTTACTAGAAGTGTTAATGATTTTGTGTTTTGTTTTTCTGGTATTCTTAAACACTCGTATGAAAATAACATAAGGCTTAACCAAGCAGATTGTGAGTTAGTTTTGATGCACGTTGTAATACGACGTGATAATTTGTCTGCTGCGATTGGTCTTGCTCCTTTCGGGATGCGCTTCAATATGGGAACGTTTTTCTTCAGATTTGTAACTAGATTTGAAAATGCATTAAGGTCCAAATTTTCACCTATACCAGGAGTTAACCGTTCTGTTTGATTACATAGAAGGTTGGAATTTGTATTTGATGATTCATTGTTAGGGGGCAAATTAGTTATCGGTGTTAATTTGGTGGCCTCTGTTCTTCTTAAACAGTGGATTTTGTGAAGCTTTAAACCTTTCTCGGTTTTTAGGGCCTTTACACAGATATTACATATAAATCCTTTTTGACTTTCACATGAAGAATGAGTATTGTATACATTTTTGGTTTGCGTAAGTACAGAGTCTGTCGACGAGTCATGAGATGTGTATGTGGGTCTGAAATATCTGGGATCTCTGTTTGTGGGGATGGAATTTGATACACCTGATGAGGTCAATTGTGACATTTTATAAAAGATTTCCGATTCAAAGAAAAGAAAAATTGAGGTTATTAGAAGGTAAACATGAGCTCTGGTCTTTGCATGAAGAAGGCTGGTTCAGCTGATAAAAGAATTGTAAATAAAAATAAACCAATAATATTATTTTGAAAACAAATAAAATGAATATTTGGGGTTAGAGGTTAGATGAGTTTAAGTTGTGAGAATTATTAATGATATAGAGGTATAATGTATAAAATACTTATTAGTATAAAACCTGTCTTCTTAAAGATCTTTTTGAAACACTGTTTTAAAAATTATTCACTAATAATCACTGAAAATTGAAGAGCAAAATGTTTATCAACTTTACAAATTCACATCAGCTGGTTAATCTGGTTAATTAACTAGTAAAATATTTATTCAAGGAACACCGCGAAGTTTGGTTAAACATAAAGTTTTGTCAGAGATTTGGTGGTATGTTGTGGTAATCCATTCAATATGCGAGAATGTTCATGAGGGATTCAGAGATAATTGAATTCGCGAACTATTTTCTTGAGTGGTTTCTTCAATAGAGAGGGAACTTGTTTGGAACCGTTTTACAGATTGATTATTTCAAGAGTTTAAAACAGGATCCGTGCTTAAACGTTTAAGTCAAGAGTTTTAATAAATTCTCTTCACAATTTATTGTGTACCACACATTGTATAGATATTGGCCAATATTCATTTAATCCAGCCAATGTACTATTCATTTTGGAAAAAGATTATTGTAAAAATGTAATTGAATGATTAATGGAAAATTCTACTATGTTAAGTTTTAATCAACGGTTGAATTAAATTTCACGCACTATGCTTTTCAATTTTTAATACTTTTATAAGATTGCAAAGAGATTTCTTCCTTGATTCATTATAGCTAGAATTCACAGCCTGGATTTTAAATATTTGGACTGTTTGGTTTTTAATGTTCATAAAATTAAAACATTTTGTACAAGTATTCAAATATCATTGGAAAATATATTATACCACCAGAGTTACTAGTCCGTTGTGTGCATATTAATTTATAACGTCCTTATTGTAACATTTATATTCGTCCTTCGCTGTACCTATGCTGTACATTTGCAATGATTGCAGTGTACATTTGCCATGTCCCCGGCAGTGCGTGTAGTTAATATGCCTATCATTGTTGTTTTTATGTTTTGTGTGAAATGTAGGTTTTATTTATTTATTCTGACGACACCTCAAGTGGACCCTTTTGTTTGCCTGACGATGGCGGAGATGTTTAAATAACCGCCGAAACATATGTAGCAAATTTGAAACTACGAGGTAGTCATCATTTGTCATATTAACGCAATCCTAAAGTATAATTTTCAAAATGCCACTATTTTGTTTCTACGAGGGTTAGGGAGCTGAAAATTTTCTGGTATAGTTGCAACCCCTACTTTATAAATTGTGTAGTTTCAGAACTGTTGGCCCATACATGGGCAAGTAATATAAAATCAAAACTTTAAACTTCTTCGTGGGACACCCTGTATACTATAAATGACGATAATGCACTAAGATAAGGCTCTAACTATATGATTTAATTATTTTTTTAACTAAAAAGTGTATTTTTATTGCAAAAACAGCTAGTTAGTACCAATATAGTAACCTGAACATTAAGAGCCACCATTGACTTGTCACTGAAGTACATAGAAATCGCATCTATACAGCTGTAGTATTTTGTTTATTTAATAAGAACATCATTGAATAAGCCCCTCACAGAATGTGCTACAATGTTTTTATTTACAGTTACTGAGTTATGTCATGTGGCTTAAAAGATGCTACAGATTACAATCATTCAATCCATCTATCACTTTCACTTGGCTGAAATTAAGGTGTATTCAACATAAATCAGTAATTTTTTAACGCTTGTCCGGGAAAAATTCATTTAAGGTCCTAATTATATATTGTCATGAAAACGTTTATAATGTTAGAAAATCTGTTATACTGCTTTTATTATTGCAAAAAATGATGAAACAAAAATTGAGAAGAAACAAAGCCGAGTAGGGCACAGCTGTCAGTTTCCGTAAGCTCTTTTGCAGTCAGCCTCATTAATGTTTGATGAGCTGCAATAGTAGTTGACATTACTGCAGAGTAATTAATTAATGGTGTAGCTTTCCAGCTAATTAACTAAACGCATTTAACTTTTGCATTTATCCAACAATCAGCTGAGGTATAAAGTAACAGAAGAAAAGAGTTGTATAATAGAACTAGCTGAACCCGGCAGACGTTGTCTTGCCTTTGACTATTTATAATCCCGCGGGCTTTTGCCCCGTTTAACTTCTTAATTTTCAAGATGATCTCGTTCCAATGGCTCAATCACGTCCTGGTTGAAGTTCGTTCGCTACGCTCACTCACCTTTAGGTTGGAGCTCGTTCGCTACGCTCACTCACATTTGGGTTGGAGCTCGTTCGCTATGCTCACTTGCCTTCAGGTTAGCTCGTTCGCTATGCTCGCTTGCCTTCAGGTTAGCTCGTTCGCTATGCTCACTTGCCTTCAGGTTAGCTCGTTCGCTATGCTCGCTTGCCTTCAGGTTAGCTCGTTCGCTATGCTCACTTGCCTTCAGGTTAGCTCGTTCGCTATGCTCACTTGCCTTCAGGTTAGCTCGTTCGCTATGCTCGCTTGCCTTCAGGTTAGCTCGTTCGCTATGCTCACTTGCCTTCAGGTTAGCTCGTTCGCTATGC